CAGGAAGGACAAGCACGAAGATCATGAGAAACTTAGGGATGGATGGGCAGAAGAGGCAGTGGGAGGGAGGGATGAAGAGACTCATGTAGAAGAGGAGAAAACGCTATGGCCCGAGTGCTACAGGAGCACCGGGGGCTTGGAAATGGGGTTGGAGAGGAGAATGAGGGAAACCTTGAGAGCGAGGCACCTTGGCTAGGCCAATGGGTCTGGAGACACAGCCATCCTAAGGCCCGGCACGGGGCGTTGCCTCCTGAGGAATGGATGGGATCCAGCTGAGCGGTCAGGTTGTGGGGGTGGGGAGTAAAAATGGAGAGAAGGCAAGTATGTTCAGGAACAGGTACATATGTGCAGTAAGTGTTAGAGGCTGCCTAAGTGGAGGCTCGGGAGGTGGCATGCTTGTTTTCTCTGTGTGTGTGTGAGAGTGTATGCGTAAAGTTGCAAATATACAAAAGCAGAGAAAACAATTCAATGAACCCCCCGTATAGGTCCCCCAACTTCAGCAATTACCAGCCGATGGTCAACCTGGTTTCTACACTTCCACCCACTGCCCTCTTTGTCCTGGATTTTTTAAAGCAAATCCCAGACAGCATATCATTTTGTGAAAGTTTGAGTATATAAATCTAAAAGATAAGGACACTCCTTTTTAAACTTTACCCCAATGACATCATCAGATCCCCCAATTTCTTAATATAAATTACTTAAAACCATCAAATATCCCATCAGTGTTCACATTTCCTAAATTGTTCTCCCAATGGCTTTCTTTCTTATTTTTCCATTTTGTTTAATATGGTTCTAAACAATGCCCATACATTATAATTAGTTAAAATATCTCCCAAGTCCCTTTTAATTTATAGTTTTCGCCTCCCTGATTTTTTTTTTTTTCCTAATTTTTTTTGCTGAGTCTGCACTATTGTTGATGTTCAAACTAGGCCATGTGTCTGAAGACTTTCTCATCCTTGGTTTTGCTGATGGCCTCCCTGTGGTGTCATTTGACTTGTTCCTCTATTCCTTATACTTCTCATAAATTGGTGGTCAGATTCAGGTGGACTTTTCTGGCATGACAACTTCACAGGTGGCAGTGTGTTCTTCACTGGGAGGAGGCTGATGTCTGATTGTCTCTCTTTTGCAATGTTTAGAAAACTGTGACGTCCTAATTTCTATCATTCCTTCTGCACTTATAAACCAGACTACTTCCCTAAAGGGAAACCTCCTTCACCAGTTATGTGATTACCCTGAAGTATGGTTCATCTAGGAGAGGCAGGATATGTGCTTGATTCTTTCCCTTTATTTAGCAGTTTTTGAAGTAATGAGTTTAGACTCTTCTAAAGGCAATCAATGTCTTTATTTTTACTTAGTATTATTGTGAATTTCTGAATATAAACATATTCGACATGTTTCAAGGATGAGATATTTATAGGTTTTTTAGGGTCGGATATAAAAAGGGTCTTTCAGAGCAAGGAGGTTGATCAGATTGGGCAAGTTTGTCATATAATCGTTGAGGACTGGTGGACACAGCAAGGGGAGGGTTTGAAGTGAGCCTTGAAGGGCACAGTCATGTGATAATCCAGTTGACTGATCTGTGGTTCTAAGGAGGAGCTGTTACTCTGATGAGAGCTAGTTGGGTAGCTGGTCTATTGTTCCAATAAATGAATTTTTAGGAAATCACTAAAACAATCAAGATATTTGAAATATATATACTTGGATTGATACTTGCCCTTTCAATCTGAGGCTTATTTCTTTCTTTCAACCTTGGAATTTATCTCCATTATGTCTTCAAATATTTCCTCCTCTCCATTTTTATATCATTCTCTTTCTGTTCTAGTTCTATTACTAGAATTTTTATTAATTAGAAAATTTTAAAATAAACGGCCTTATTTTATTTTTTTGACCTTTGCTTGCTGCCTCTGGAGAGTTGATGAAATTGCTTTCAATCACTAATTCATCTTAATTAGCTGCACTCAGCGGCATCTTTTCTACTATTTATCCCCTGTTATTAATAAATAGCATCAATGAATATTCATTCCAATTATTATATTTTTCATGCCTAATATTTCTAGTTTTAGTTTCATGATATTTTTTCCTGATTTATATTGCTATTGTCATCCCTCATCCTCTTAAACATATTTATCATGCTTATTTAAAAATCTTGGTCCATCTGCTCTAATAATTAGGTTTCAGATGGTATATGTGGCTCAATTGTGGTCTTTTTGTAGTAGCTATACTCCTCAGATGTCTAGTTATTTGTCTTGTGAATTCATGTTCCCTGGAGTTCAACTACTCTGATAAATATACATCAAAGAACTGAAGTCTCAGGCCCCAGAGAACATTTTCTGACACTATACCAGATCATTCCTCCAGCCAGGTTTCTACCCTCAGGGAGAAGCAGTATTATTATTATTATTTTTTTTTTTGGTGAGGAAGATTGGCCTTGAGCTAACATCTGCCAATCCTTTTTTTTTTTTTTTTTGGGACGCTACCAGAGCATGGCTTGACAAGCAGTGTGTCTGTGTGCACCCGGGATCCAAACTGGTGAACCCTGGGCCACCACAGTGGAACACGCG